GAATTCCCCCATTCGGACGACAAGCCTTATCCGATTGGACGCGGCAACACAGAAACGTGCTCACGGTGGAGGACACGTGGATGGGTACCAAAGTCTAATCCGACAGAAGTTAGATCTGTAGACAGGCTGGGGGGTGAGGAAAATAGCGGACGCGTTAGCGGGACATACGGTGGCGCCGTAATGTCAATCCCATGCATGCCCTGACCGCGACATCTGCGCTATCGTTAGCTCGATCTTACGCAAATCGCGCGGCTCCAAAAGCGGTTTTGTGTGACTGGAGATTAGAAGTGGCTGGTGTTGGCCATGTTCGTGGAGCACTTGCAGTGGCTCGGGCGCTATGGAAGACTGGGGATGCGGGTGTCTGACGGCAGAATTTGGGTATGCTTGCCATTGGCACGATTGTAGTCGCAGGTCTCAAGGGCTTGTTTGGTTGAATTCTGCTTGACTTCTGTTCACAGTCGCAGTTGTGGGGGCAGTAATGAGCTTTATGTCTTGTCACTGCACAATATTCACGAGACACAAACCTGCAGCACAGCCGCCAGGGGCAACATTACCTCAGATCTATGAGCTTTGAAGATCAAAATAATTGCACGATATAGACCTTGCGACATGAAGTTCCAGCTATTGGTGCTGTTCATTTAACCTTAGCCCCTGATATGAGGCGGTGCGGAAATGTGGACGTTCGCTTTAAGACAACCAAAGCTCTAAAGCTTAGAGTCTTGGTCCTTGCGGCAGACCATTCCCTCCAAGACTAGTCAGGTTCGCAATTTGTGCTTCGTTTGATGGTCGTAGCTTACGGTCTTCGGGGTCAAAGTCTCTTTGACACAGCGTGAGGTTGTCGCTGGTGTAAGATGGATGCAGATCGGGCTTGTGACGTGGGAGGCTTTGTGATGTAGGTCGAGGCAGTTTCGGAAGGGATCGACTTCGAAAGGTAATCTGAAAGGCGGCTTTGGTCTTGACTCGGAGTAGAGCTTGGTGGAGGTCTTGCATCTGAGTTCCTAAATTCCATCAGTCATTGAGGATATCGAGGGATTGAATGGTTGAGTTGCCAGGCAACGAAACCTATGCGTCTTTGAACAACTTGGCCAAGTCTCCTTGTCTGAATGAGAAACACTGAGAAACTGCAAACTTTATCCTGAGTCCATCTTTCTGCCACTGCTTGTAAATCTCATGCTGGAGTCAACTGGCTGGCAATCAACGAGTGACCAACTTTGGCGTGACTGAACCATTAGGTGAGGAACTGCTTGGCTGATGGGTTTCAGAAAAATCGACGGAGACCACCACGAGACGGAGGCGGCATCTACTAACAGCCATGATGCTGTGGCGCTTCGAAACGGGTTATATACCGGTGAATAAGCAAACAGTGAATCCGAATTGAGAAGATGCGCGGAAGGGAGGTCAGAAAAGCTTCTTTCAGGGATCCCGGGAACAAGCCTCGGAGTGGCGCTGCCGTTGGAGGCCAAGACAAATCGATCGGTGAAGCGGAGAAAGAGGCGGAAAATGAGCAGCGTCAGGGCCATATTCCAGAATGCGGGCCGCTGTTCATCTTTGAACCATTCCGTTCCTCCAGTTGTTGCATTTGGTGATGATCCAAGCCGCTCGCAATACAAGGGGCTGACTCTGGAGTCATGGGTTCGAGGCGATTCGGAGGTCAGCAACTCACACCGTTCCTGTGCTTGAGATTGAAGAGAGGATTTTTTCGATGGCGGTGTAACTTGCATGTGAAAGATAAATTATTTGCCCCTTGGTTCTTGTGAGAGGCATCGTCGTATTCGAGGTCATCAAGTTCGATCTGGTCGCGTGTCGTCCGCTGAGGATACGACTGGACTCAAGGGCGGCGGCGAGTGAATGACTCAAATGTGATTCCGGGACGGACTTAAGATGCAGGTATTGCGGTTACTGCGCGTTGGTTGCCGTCCTCAAAGAAGAGTTTGTGGGGTGACTGCTTGTTTGTGACTCATGACCTTCCAGAAACGTGGTCTCCTCATACCATCGCAGCGAAGAACCACTACTAATTGAACGTTCTCATTTCCTCTCCTCCAGCTTGAAGCACAGCAATGGGTGCGGCCCCCTCATGATCTTTTATCGGTCTCGTTTTGCGGTCGCCGGGGGTGATGGCAGTATGTCTAACGGTCTTTACCAACCGATCTGAGCTGCAGTGGGTTGCCTCTTGTGCCGGCTATGGTTGCTTCACGCTCTCCTTTGCCGAACGCGTGCCCTCTGGTGTTCTTGCTGTGTTGTAAGATTCGAGTTATGGGGAACCAGCTCGGGACATCCTCGTCCCGCGACATCAGCCTTCTGGCAAAGTTTGATGGTCAAAGGAAGGGCGGAAGCTGAGACATTGTCACTGGATCATATCCTTGTGCGTTCTAGAGTCTTCATCAATCCTTGATCCAGCTGGTGCGTGGGTATCTTGGCTTGATCCCGCTCAGAACTCGCAATGTTTTGACCCTCGACAGTCTTTCCCAATTCGGTGGCTGCACGTCGACTGTCTCGCCAGTGAATTGTAGCACGCTCGCCACTGTGACCATTGTCTCCATGAATGGCTATTGGATGCTTTGTCGAGAGCCTTGCTGATAACCCACAACGAAACAAGATCTCGTCGTTGGAACTGCGGAATCGAAGGATCCGTCGGGATGGGAGAGTCGTTGATGAGGTAGCGGTCGGGAAGAATGAGCAATGAAAGGAGGACGTCTGCTAATCCTGTTCGATTGGGATAGGGCATGCGCAAACTGGAAGAGATCCTGGTAAAGAGTTAGAGACAGCTTCGCGTGGGTGAGAATCGGGCGGGGATGAATGGTACAAATCATGACCACAAGGCGTGGAGCGATACGGGATGTCGTCAAATGAATGGAATGGCAAGTCCATGGACCTCTGAAGGAGTGGGTAGTGGTCTTGCTCACAAAGTACTGGGAACTCACCCCTGAGTGACGTTTTGCTCATCGGATAGACTAGGTGAGGAATCTCAACTTCGACACCACCAGTTGTGAGAACTGAAGATCTCCTTGATCTAAGAATCTCAGATTGCCTCACCTTTCCCTGTTTCGCTGAATATCTTATCGAATCAAAGTACAATGTTTGGGGCAGAGCCAGTCCGAGTTTGAGCTTAACACTTCTCTGGAAGTGGTACTGAGTCGCGGTGTGAGACCTCCAAGGCCAGTAACGCTATAGCCCCTTGATGAAGCTTTGGATCTTCAACCTGATGTTGGGAATGAGTGCTTGGGCGGACTTCGCGTCTGAGGAGGAGGGAGGGTTTCGTCTCACACCTCGCGGCGGCGGCTGTTACTCTGAACCTCATCGCTATCGAGATAGTCGTCATCGGTTCTGCCATTTCGCCATGGAAGTGCTCGTTGATGCGCGTCTGTCTTTCATCCGAGCATGCTGCAACCAATTGACCTCGGTGAAAGGAGATTCGAGGGCTCAATGTCGTCTTGTGGTGGACAAGTCAACCCCTTGTGGCTCGGTAGATTCTCGTTGACTCTCAGCATAGCTCAGGGTCGAACGAAAAGGCTGATGACAGGTGTCGGTCGCTCATCGGAGTCGCATCTCTCGTGGTGCTCGGAATTTCTTGGCCAGATGTCATACTTTCTGTTGACCGTGTGATCCTTTCTCTTGACCCTCGCGATGGCATTGATAATGGCACTCTTCTGTGCTCGTTAGATCGCTTTCGTTCCCTAGATGCCCATGTTTTTCGGTCGGCGATCGTTAGCGGCATGAGACAGCGACGTACCCTTCAGGGTTCTTTTGCGATTGCTCTTCCTCCGTAAGTCAAGAGAAGCGTGATCTTCTTGCTGCCTTCTGGCGTGTCGCGTGTCTTCAACATCGCTCGTGATTGCGGCCGCAGGGGGACTGAACTCAATTCTGATGGCCGTGAGTGGTGTTCATGCGCTGTTGGATTGGACGCGAGCGCTGTTCTTTTGCGCTCTTGAGATCCATCAATGACGGGTTCCTGTCGGGATCAGGTACCACAATGGTGAGTCCAAGATGAGATGACTGGTCGTTCAGCTTCGTTGTTGCGACACGGCGGACGTGATCACATTGACACGGTTCACCAATCTCGATTGATTTTCTTGCGCGCAGCAAAGATCCAATCAACGCTGTGATCACAAGAGTGGTTGTTCAATGGGATCAGTGCTCAAAACATGAGTCAAGGCGAGCTTCACGGCGATAAATCGTATGCCGCACGCCTGACTCCCTCAGGTTTGCCTTGGACGTGGTCGCCTTGGAGAGCAAATTGTGGGTCTGGGCCAGTAACAATGGTAACAAAACCTCAGTTCGGGGTGTATCTCTCTTTCATGGCTAAATTGACATGTTCATGTAATGTTTGAGAGAACAATGGATTGATACTACAATGAAGATCATACATGTTTCCAGTGGTAGACGAGTTCCTCTTGATGTGTTCTTAAAGATTGTTCTATCATTTTCTGTAAATCACGGCCAGATCAAGACGAATGAAGTCAATAAAGTTCCATGTTTCCAAGTGATCGACGGTATTCCGTTGGAGCGTTTTTTGCTATTCTTTAACCAGTTTTGAACGCGATCTCTATGTTTCGCCCTTTCATCACTTGTCAACTCAATTGTGCATCATCAACCTTCATCTCGTTGCGGGACTTTCACCAGCTCCTTGGATTCCCTTCCAACACTTCCACTGTCGTCCAAGTCACCAACTCAACTGAGCAAGTCCCATGTGAATCATAGTCTCAACGAATGAAGGCCAGTGCTTCTTGCATAACCATCAGTCCCTGCCACTGCCAGACCATTGCCAAGCGCTGTGTGACAGGGAACACGCTCCACACCTCTCCAAACCACCTCTAGCTGACCCTTCGTCTTCTTGACTCCTCAACTCTTTCATCCTTCTTCATCAACTTCATTTTGGACTTTCCAGAAATCATCTTGCTCTTTGTCAACACTCTCTCACATCCACACAAGACCTCACCTCAAAACACGCAGGTTGGTTCACATCTTCTCTTCTGTTCCCCGCTAACTTCAAAGCACCAGAAATGCCTTCCATTAGCGAAGCCAAGCTCCGTGATCTTTACACCAAGATTCAAGACCTCCAAGAGCAGGTCGAGGAGTCGAAGCACCTTGTCGAGGTCCTTGAGGCCAACCTCAGAACCGCCAGACGATCGGACACGAATACCGGCAACCCTGGAGAGGCCAACGATGGTCTCAAGGAGGGGGAGACTCGAGTGACCTTGATCGAGAACGAGCGAGGTCGGTTCGTCAAGTGGACCACTGGCCCGGTCCTCTTTCCCGCAGCCGAGTTTGCAGAGAAGATGGGCCTTGACTTTGAGACTTTCTGGGCTGAAAACGGCCCTGGCAGTCAAAAGGTATGTTGACTCTTTCATTCCTTTACCCATCTAACGGTGCAAGACTACCGAGAAGGGTACCAAGGAGGGAGACCGGGAGATTGTCTAACAAAGACGACATAGAAGGACAATGATGGACATTGGGTGTTTCGGGAAGATGGAAGCTATTGTAGTCTACGAATTTGGTGGTTGATGGCGTATTAAGTTGGCCTTTTGTCTTTGTATATCCCACCTTAGATTGAGTCGGAGATCAAATCATCAGAACCGTTGGTCAACTGAAGCCATGTAGTACAGTTCGCTTTATAAAATCCGGGTAACACTCGATGTCGTAATAATCATGGCGAAGAGGTTGGACTTGGATGCCGAAGCTGTCATAGTGATCACGACACGGAAAGCTTCACACCAGATAACAATCTTTATTTCATTAATGAACCTGGACTACCGATGCCAATATCACCGCTACATTCGCTTGCGTCTTCAACCTGTCTCATTGGCGATATTTCAGGACACTTCATTACATTAGCTAATGCTGAATTCAAACTGTGATAGGGTTAAGGGGTTAAAAAGAGGCTTTAGCCTTAAGGCCATAAAGGTAAAGAACACCAAAAAAATACATATAGGTAAGATACTTATTGCCCTTATTATTATCTAGGATCTTACTTTTAATTAAAAAGCTAGATATTTTAATAACTAACTCTAAAGGTATATAAATAAGTAGCTATTTACTGCCTATTTATAAAGATAATTAGGCTTAAAATATATAAAATACCTAAAGGTAAGCTACTTAATATAAATAAGTCTATTAACTTAAAATAATACTTTTAAGATAACTTTTACTATATAATAGCTAATTAATAACTAACTGCTAGTAAATATAAAGATTATAACTTTAATTTTAGCCTTTTTTTTTATTATTAATAATTAAATCTATAAGAAGTTAAGTAAGTTAATAGAGTTTTAAAGCCTTAATATAGCTATTAGGGAGAATAGCCTTAACGATAAGGTCCTCCTAAAGGTTATTAAATTTAGCTGCTATAGCTATATCACGGCAATAAGACCTTCTCCTTACATCAAGGAGAAATGCTCCAAGATGATCGAGGAGCTGAATTCAAACGTAAAGGTACTTACCGCATTCTCAGGGGCGCTTATTAGATTTAAGCCAAGTCCATCGACTCTCAGGCCAAACTTGGCGTTCATAATAATATAGGCCCTCTTTCAGGTCTTTGATTCGCTTGTCCTTTGCATCACCTTCCTCCTTCAGGACTTTCAGCTCCTCCTGAAGATTGTTGACTGTTGCCTTGTAGTCATCGCATTCCTTTTCAGCCTTTTCGGCCGCCGCTTTAGCATCTCGAAGTTGAGACAGTACTGCTTCGAGCTGCAGTATGGACTCCCCGATGACGTTTGAGGCTTTCTGGTTGTTTGACAGGGACTGCTGTCCGACATTGGTACTCGCGGGGCCTTGCTGCAGGGACATGCTGTCTGGTGATTGGTTCTGTAACGTAAATATCAGCGACTGTTGAATCATGTCCATCAAGTTACATACTTGTGATGCTGATGTAAAGGTTGAGGAAAAGAAAGAAGGAGAAAGCGTTTAGGAGAAATTTATAAAGAACTTCTTATTAAAAAGCCTATTTAGCTTAATTAAAATAGCTATTTTTAACTATATTTTAATTAACTTAATTAATTATATAGATTAGGTTAATTTAGGTTATTAAGTTTATTTAATTTAGCTAATTAAAAAGCTATTTAAGTTAAAGAAGCTAGAAAGGGCTATTAAGGAAGGCTTGCCTTTTAATATAAAAATGGCAGCTTTTCTAACTGTATTAATAGGTAACTTAACTTTATATAAAGAGTGGCTTAATAATATAATTATTAAGGCTAAATATATATACTATATCCTTTTAATTATATAAAATTAATATACAGACCAAGCTAGTTATAGTCTAAGACTATAAGAGTAAAGCTAAGGCTTATAGATAGTATATCTATAAATAGAGGTCTAGGATAAATATAAGGTAATAGCAGGGTTTAAAGGTTTAAAGAAATTAAATTAACTTTTATATAAGTTAGTTAGCAAAAGCTAAATTAATATCTACTAATTAAATTTATATAGTTAAATATATAACTGATTAACCTTATATTTAAGAATAAATAAAGTAATATTAGTAAAGAATTAATAGTTTAAACTAGGGTTAAGTATATTATACTTAAATATATTTTTTAACTTAACTTTCCTTATTAATTATAGTTATTAATATTAATTATAGTTATTATTATAATACCTATATATAATAGCCTATAGGTTAATTAAACCTATTATATAATTAATTATAACTTTATTAATATAATTAAATTAAAATTAATAAAAGCTATAAGCTTAAATACTATAAGCTTTATATAATAACTATAACTATTAAAAAAAACTTTTTATTTAAAAATTAATTTAATTTAATTAAAATAGCTATTTTTAATTATATTTTAATTAATATAATTAATATAATTAGTTGTATAAATTTAAATATTTTAGGTTATATAACATCTTTAAATTAGCTAGTTAAAAAGCTATTATAATTAAAAGACCTAAAAGAAGCTATAAAGTAAGGTAAGACTTTAATAATTCATTAAGTTATCTTTTTAATTGCCTTTTTAAGTTTAAATTTAATAAGCTATTAAAAATAGCTATAAAATATAATTATTAAGGCTAAATTAAGAAAGTAAAAAAATAAATATAAAATAATAATAAAAATTTATAAAAATTTAAAGAAAATTAAATTAACTTTTATATAAGTTAATTAATAAAAGCTTAATTAACCTAAAGTTAATAATAAATCTATTAATTAAATATATATATTAAAGTATATAATTAATTAACTTAATATTTAAAAACTATAAATAAAGTAATATTAATAAAGAAGTAGTAATTTAAACTGAAGATATTATTTTATATAGATTATTCTTAAGCTATTATTTTTATTTTAATTATATTATTTAGTTTTAAATCTTTATAGAAATCGCTAGCTATTTTAGGGAAAGTGCCACTTTCTAACATCAAGAGCGCGAATAGATCTAGTGGCAAGCAATAGCAATCGGCCCTTAACATTGCTTCGCAGACCGTAATGTCTGATGTATAATTACCGTTCTCACCTTTAAGTTAATTCTCTAGGTCTAGATTAACAAGTCTTATAGTTTCCAAATGTCAATGGTATCCAGATTGCGTAAGTCACTCTGAAACCTTGCCATATCGATCATAACAACTAACAACGAGGATCAGTGGAGCGAAAGCACATCAGTCACACAACGTCGAGTCTTACTCAAATGTCATCAGTGCCAAGTTCTTCGATGGGGAACAAAGGATTACATCCGGTCATATCTGGAAAATGGAAGCATTGACTACAGCCAGAAGCCGCATATTGGTGGGAACTCTGGCAGTTGGGAACCTACTCGGGATCAGGTTGATATGGCTAAGTGAACAGTATACGATTCAGAGCGGAAGAAGAATAGGAAAGTAATGGCTGACGGAGATTGGTGGTATATCGAGAAGGGCGGTACCAAGGTCTGGTTTTGAAACAAAGTTCTTTGTGGGATTGCATGCTCTAAGCGACCAGATCCAACTGTAAATACACATATAGAACACTATGTAGATATTATAGGATAGTTTCTCGCTAATATTTTCAGCGTGTTTATGCCCAATGCCACCAAGTTTCATCCTTAATCTGATCCTGAGATTATAATCACCACCCAAGGCTCCCGATTGCAAAGCCCGCGGTTTTAGATCGCCTCCTGGAATATTTAACAGACCTTACTGATTGATAGTTAAAGTTTATAATATCTCAACGAGATATATTAAGCTAACACACTAAAAAATACTAATTAACTTTAGGCTTCTAAAGGCAATATATATATAGCCTCTATAAAGATAAGTCTCCTAATTAAAATTAGAATAATATGCTTTTATGATGACTTAATTAGTAACCTTATTGGCAGCTGCTGGGATATAAGAAGCCGGCCTGATCCCTTATTGCTAGAAGCAGAAGAAATGCTCACATAAAAAAACACAAACGTGTAGAGAAATAAGTAAAAAGGACAGATCGTCCAATCTAGCTTTCAGGATGAGCAGATAGACTTCAATACAGAAGCTTAATCTCCCAGACGTGGCCACTGATGAAGTCACATGTGGCATAAATAAACACAGTCAAAATCACATTAAGTTCCCTTGAAAAGGGTTAACAGACCTTACTACATTGTCTTATAGACTCGCCGTATTATGTTCCAGGCTTAAATTTAGGTCATGATGCTACTTAGAAACCTTACATATATAGATCAAATTTCGCTGGAACGACCATTCTAACATCAAGTATTGTTCTAAGCTCTGAAGAGAGCTAAACAATAGTAGACAGAGTGGTGGAACTAAAGTAAATATTTTCTGGCTCGCATTATTCTCGTTACAAGCCCAAAACAATGAATATAGCGAAATCAATGGGAAAAGCTTGCTGGCTATGTCTTCTCATCCGATGTGAGGCTAAGATGCGGTGATGGCCGAGACGGCAAAGAGCCTCTGGTCCCTCTTATTTTGTGCCTCGAACTTGGGCAAGCTACAAGTACGGATACAGAATCCCAGTCTTTTAACATCCTTCCATATCTCTAGTCTGTCAAGATTGATGGGTGTCTCGGGTGTCAAGATCTGGAATAGCCTTTCCCCGAAGACCAATCTTCTATAGACATAATATCTACCAGAACTAACCATCCTGCCTACTCTAACTAGGGTTAGGTCTAGGGAATTAAGTTAATAGGAAGAATAAGTTAAACTGAATTAAATAAAGTTTTAATTTAGTTTTAAAATCTTTAATATTTCCTATATTTAGCTAGCTTTAAATATAATAATTAGTTTTTTTAATAACTATTAATTAATTAAAAATATTTTTTAGTTTTATATATTTATAAAAATATATAAGGCTTTTTTATTAATTATTAGGCTAAACTTAATATTTATAATAATTTAAAGCCTTTTTTAAGCCTTTAAACTCCTTTTTAATTATTTTCTTTTAAGACTTTTTATTTTTCTTAAAGATTACTAATTAATATATTATAATTTTTATAATTTTTATTATTTTATTACCTTAAATAAAAAGTATTTAAACTTTATAACATTAAAATAATATTACTTTAAGTTATATTATAAATTTTTTAATAATATATAAAGCCTTTTAATTATATAATAAAAATTATTATTTAACTCTTATTTATTACTTATTATATATTAAATATACTAAAAAGAAAAACCCTCTATTTAAAGCCTAACTATCTTTTATATCTTAAATAAAGCTATAGGCCGTTTTACCAGGCATTCTAAAGCAGCAGATAGTCAATCAATATCCCATTTTCTGGCCTGCTCCACTTGCTATCCAGGCATTTCTAGCCCTGTCCTTCTCAAAACCTCGAGCCAATGTATGTCGGTACTGCCTGGCTGAGAGTTGTCGTATTCTGACCAAATAGTCTTGACAAGCTGACATATACTATCGCTAGCTCTGTATGGTAGCGCTTGTTGAATGTTGCCAAGCCTGGCCCAGACAAGACATCTTGCCTGAGATAACTCAAGAGCTAATTGCGGAATGGACGCATATGAAGCGAGTGCTGGGTTTGTTGTATCTAGAGATAAATCTGGAAGAAGACAGGATGCCGACTGGGTAAGATCAAATGAAGCCCAGTTCTCGACCCTCGAGCCGTCTTGCGATCCCAAGTGACTAAATCTGAGTCCGGCGGCTGCAGAGAGATACAGCATGGGATGGATGAATTTGGAGCCTGACTCAGCCGGAATCTTCTCAAGTATGGCCACAAGTTGCAAGGTGAAACTGGCGAGAAACCTTGCACGATATGTCTTGTCTCCAGATGTCACATTGACGGCGTTATCAGGTGATGTGTTGGCAAGAAGTGAATTATCCTGCCCCTCTTTATGTTTGGTATCAAGATCGTGGAAAGTCAAGTAAAGCTGGAGCAGTGCGGCTTGGCGATACGCCTCTGCTGTCTGAAATAGATGAGAAAGGGGTGTCTTATTGTCTCTCGTCTCCACGGAGTATCCTTGTGCCTCTTCCAAAAGGACGAGAGTCTTGAAATCCATAGCCAACAGCTCTCTCTGCAGCTCGAGTGCAACCGATATATCGCACAACGCATTGCTTGTTGTTTCAAGTGTCAACGTGACGTTCTTCTTGTCTCGATAGCACACGCTGCGGCATAGAGCCAACACTTGTCCAAAGACACTAATCACCTCGTTGGAGAGGCCGCACCATGAATTGGGCCGAGTCCCGAAGGGATTTGGGCCCGAATCGTAGCAAGTTTCAACTTCGCACATGGCGTCGGAAACAGTTGTCTGCAGGTTCATTGCTTTTCGAAGCCTGCTATGGTACTTTTTCCGCCTCTGGTCGACTTTGACTGGCATTGAGCCGCGACCTATTGCGGCGACGAGCATCTCCCAGTACGTGAGTGCCTGGCAAAAGTAGGCATGGATCAAGGCATCGCCCGGAGCAAGGTTCAACTTCCACATGAAGAGTAACTCGCGGGCCGATTCTAGCCAAGGTTGCTGAGCTGGGAAAGTAGTGACGATCCAATGTGACGAAGTGCCCAATCCAAACACGGCAAAGACCAGATCAGAAGTCACTTTGGTTGGCAAAGACGCCCGAACCTGGGATATAGCGTGATTGATAGCTAAAGTTGCTTGCTGCTTTAATGATGGTAATGTGTCCCTCAGCTGTGGCATGGTAGTCATCAGGCAGGCCGCCGACATAACTTGCATCATATAGAAGACAGTCTCAGATGTACTCCATGAGCTCCAGGCCAATTGACGGTTGTAATTAATCTCAGAGTCAAATGTAGATCGCATTGGACAAATGAAACGGAACCAATGCTCAATTAAGGTGGTTGGCAAGTGAACGGGCGCTTTTGGGATTCCTTGGTTAGATGGGCAAGACAAGTCATACTGCAATGAGGATGTTGGAATAAGCTCGCCATCATGCAATGAGTCCCAGGCAGTATCATCGATGTGTTGCGTATCCCCGCCAAATTCTGTAGGTTCCCATGTTGACGGGCCTTCAGTCAGCCAACTCAGGTTAGGGTCGATAGATATATCGGCAAATTCATTCATCGCGACGTCTACATTAGTTGGTAATTCCGTCGACAACATCATTTCAATCGCTTGGCTTGTGCTGGGAGGAAGTCGGCTTCGGTCTTGTTCCGAGGTTGTCACTTCTGGGTGTGACGTTGTTCTGGCCCGCTCATGCTTCCTTGACCAGCGCAACTTTGCCTCAAACCCAGGGCACTTGGAACCAAGCTTGGTGCAGTTTTTGCATTCTGGACGACTTTCGTCGCATCTAATCTACCCTAGAGTCAGACGCGTAAAAGGCCCAGCACAGATGCTATCACTCACCCGCCTGGCTTTGCACCGTGCGCATCCCAGTCGTGATTTTGCTGCTCCCCTGCGAGTCCGCTTGGTCTTGGGTGCGCGCGAAGGTGCGGATGAAGTCCTGGGCTCCATCACGGTACCCAAGGGTGAGGCAGAGCTTGTTTACAGCAGTTTTTGCTCTTCGGGTGATCGGGACAACCCAGAGCGTCATGTATGGTGGCAGTTTCGAGACTTGGTCGGAAAGAGAAGGCGGTAAAAGGCAACAGAGTTTTATCATAGCCAATAGTCGCCCAGTATTTAGTCATGCGGTGGCAAGCCAGGAGCTCGGTAATTGTGGTGACGCAGCGTTTGCGCTAACCACAAATGCCCGTTCTAAGTGGCCTAGGGCTGCCTCTACACTGTGCTTTCATTTTTGTATTTGCCAGTTACTCCATCAACTTGATTCTGTTCTAGATCCGAGTTCCCATAGCGCTGTCACTCAACTCTGTGGTATGCTCACTATCGAAACCAGCGGCATCTTTTGCCCATTTGATGCCCACAGAATCTAGGTCGGCACCAACATTAACGTCTTGTGCCTAATATGGGCAGGTACATCGGCCACCAAGAAGAGTCGCTGGTTCATAAATTCGTGTACACATCGTAGGCATTGGCAGGCATCTCGCATAAGGACAGCCGAGAACTCCGCTGTCTCCCCATCAATCGTGATGGGGACTCTTGGAGGCGTTGGACTGGCTGCAGTCCTTGAATCGACATTCGCTTGAGCAGTTGCGGTAGTGTTATAGGACCGTGTCGAGGAGAACGCGTGGGGCGTATGGATGGTGGCTTTTAAATCAGTTTCACTTCCTGGCATTGACTTTGGTGAAGCCTTTTAGTTTCGACCCTGATTAAACAGTTGCATGATCAGAAGATCACAATGTCAACATGCATTGTTCGTTGTCAGGAAATTGACTCTTCAATCCTGCCCAGAAGACGGTCGTGTGGTCGATAGCAGTCGCTGGAAAGGTGTCGCGCCCGCACCTGAGCGTGTAGCCTTTGTACCTTGCATTTTAAAGTATCGTGGAGAATGTTTGCGACTAAGACAGGTATCACTTACTGATAAGCTCGGCCGCAAGGACAGATATTAATATTGTCCCGATGGCTGAAATGCCCGCATTCCTTCTCATAGCACCATGATAAAAACCAAGCTCCGTGTTATTAGCCCGATCTGCACAACATCTACGAGGCTTCAGGGGCGTTGCCAGGTTGACTTGCAGGTTTCTGACTTTTAGTCAAGTAACTACATGGAGTACTCTCGTATTTACTTGCCCGATGCTATGTGTGGGTTGAAATGAGACACAAGCCATGATTCATTCCGGTAGATAAGGGCCAGATCGGCAAGCCCGTAAATTTAGCCGGGCTGTAAGTCGATACATTTGTCGATAAAGTACCCTTGCAACGGACCGCAACGAGCTAGACTGGATCTGGTCAGAAAATACGGCATGCGTTGCAGAGGCGTGATCGGTTGGTGTAATTTGACAATCCGTGCTGCCTGACTGGCATCAAGGGTACATGGTATGCTCAGCAATGCGGAGACGAGATCCGATAGCTCCCATCTCCCATCTTCTCATTATGAACGCTCCAGAAACATTCTGCAATACCATCACAGCCTTTACGAGTATGCACGGTTACTGAGTACCGTCTACATCCCTGACGAAACTTTGAGAACTCGAGCGACCCCGAAACGCTATATCGGGAGGGGCAGCCCGATCTAAGTGGCGCGTCCGTCAAGAGCTAATTCCCAACTCGGCAATTAAGTACGCGGTCCTTCAAACAGCCGGCCCGAGATTCTCCTGTATACAGGTGGAAGCCCCGGGAATCAACCCGGCTATATATCGCTGAATCGTTGATCTCTATTTTAGACAATTACCATCAGATAACTGCACCACAATAACTCCAATCTGGTGATAATTTAACTTCTCAAATCCGCGAGCGACACTGACACCACTATCATGACTACTGTCACTCTCCCACCTGGCGCCGACAGATCCTATGACTACGTCATTGTCGGCGGTGGCACAGCTGGTTGTGTCCTGGGTACTCGGCTCGCCCAGTATCTCCCAGAGTGTCGGGTATTGATTATCGAAGCCGGTCCGAGCGATCACAATATTCCAACCGTCCAAAATCTGAAGGAATGGCTTAGTGTCCTAGGCGGTGATCTCGATTACGATTATGAGACCACAGAGCAGCCGAATGGGAACAGTCATATTCGCCACTCACGAGCAAAGGTATTAGGCGGTTGTTCTTCGCATAACACAATGATCGCATTTCGTCCATTCCGATATGATATGGAACGATGGGTTGCGAAGGGTTGTCGCGGATGGGATTGGGAGACCATGATGGGGCACATTGATCATCTACGGAACCAGATCCAGCCAGTACATAACCGCCATCGCAATCAGCTGACGAAGGACTGGATCAAGTCTTGTTCGACAGCAATGGATATTCCAATTATCCAAGATTTCAACACCGAAATTCTTGATAAAGGTCAACTGAGCGAGGCCGTCGGCTTCTTTAATATCGCATACAATCCAGATACCCACCAACGAAGTAGTGCCTCTGTTGCTTACGTTCATCCAATTATCCGCGGCGAGGAACGGCGCCCGAACCTTACAATTCTGACCGAAGCCCACGTCTCCAAGATCAACATCGAGAAGTCCATCGCCGACAGCGTCGATATTACTCTCAAGTCCGGTGATCGATACACAGTTGTCCCTCGGAAGGAAATTATTCTTTGCGGCGGTGCAATTGACACTCCGCGTTTGATGCTGCTGTCCGGCCTCGGCCCCAGGGGTCAGCTCGAGGAACTAGGAATCGAGGTGACAAAGGACATCCCTGGCGTTGGCGAAAACCTTCAAGATCATGCCGAAGGCATCATCACGTGGGAGCTTGACCGGCAGGTACCACAAAACAAGACTACGATGAATTCCGACGCCGGGCTCTTCCTACGGAGAGAACCGGTCGGTGCCGCTGGAGACGACGGCAACGCGGCAGACTTGATGATGCATTGTTATCAAGCTTGTTACTCCCATCACACTACACGAATGGGATTTGAGGATATCCCCGAGCCCTACGTCTTCTCCATGACCCCGAACATCCCACGCCCTCGATCGCGCGGCCGAGTATATCTCAAGTCCGCAGATCCCAAGGTCAAGCCGGCCCTCGATTTCCAGTACTTTAGCGACCCAGAAGGCTATGATGACGCAACCATGACCTGGGGAATTAAGATGGCACGCAAGATAGCCAAAGAGAGTCCGTTCAAGGATTGGTTAAGGCGCGAGGTAGCACCTGGGCCTGCGGTCCAAACGGACGAAGACATTAGCAAATACGTCCGTAGCGTGCACCATACAGTCTACCATCCATGCGGGACAACAAAAATGGGCGACCCTACTCATGACAAGATGGCCGTCGTGGACCCAGAACTTCGAGTCCGTGGTGTAAAGCGGTTGCGGATTGCTGACGCGGGCGTCTTTCCTGACGTGCCCACAATCAACCCGATGCTCACTGTACTAGCGGTAGGCGAGCGAGCTGCCGAGTTAATTGCTACTGGGGAGGGATGGCGACCTGGTCCATCTGCGAACTTGTAGTTTGGAAGAGCATGTATCATTCAACCTGGTAGTAAAACCTGGTCTCTTTCAGCTCGAACCCTAAAATGAATATGTAATGTCAAAGCCAGTAGATTACACGTGATACGCTTCGTACTTAAATATGAATACTAGAGACCGGAATTGAATGTTACCTCTATTTTGAACGAAGCACAAGCTACGATAAAGTCATGATGGTAGTTGTGCGCCAACGCACTAGCTCTTATGCTCGCCCTTCGGCATGTATTCTTCGTATTGAGGTCCTGAGTTGCTACTGGAGTATTGGGGCTTGCTCGCACAGATAAGGCTACAAGATCTCCTAGATGTCACCTGCGTGGTTGTGCAGCACACAAACGCCGCACAAATACCGGAATCCCTCTTCGAGGCCAATATTGCCATCCTTGGGAGAAGGACCGTGCACTGGCGACAAGATTTGCATGTCAACTCAATAGATTTCCTACAAAATCATCGTAGTACTATAGCTTACTGCCCATGTTGATGAGTACGGACTTGCTCTGGGTGTATGCTTCCAAGGCGGCTTCTCCAAGCTCTCTGCCAATGCCGCTCTGCTTTACACCACCAAATGGGACGCGGACATCTGAGTCCTGGCTGCTGTTTATCCAAACTATCCCGGCCTCTACCCGCTCCGCGATCCGGTGTGCCCTTTCCAAGTTGGTTGTGAAAGCTGCGGCACCAAGCCCATACATGGAATCATTGGCAAGAGAGATAGCTTCATCTTCTGTGCTGAACCGCATAACTGTGACGACAGGACCAAATATCTCCTCCTTGAAGATTTTCATTGATGGTGAGACCTCGGTGAATACGGTTGGGGCGATGAAAAAGCCTTTGCCGCTGATATCAATTGGTCGTCCACCTGTAGCAACAACGGCGCCCTCTTGTTGTGCGACTTGTATGTGGTTCAAGATTTGGTCGTACTGAGCCTTGGAAATTTGTGGTCCCTGGTAGGTATCCTTTGCCCATTGGTCCCCTAGCTTACTGATAGCCTTAACCCGCTGCAGAAAGCGCTCAAGGAAGTCTTCATATATCGAATCTTGCACCAAGATACGCGACGTTGCTGTACATATTTGGCCCTGGTTTGACATAATGCCCATATGGGACCACTTTACAGCCTCATCTAAATCTGCATCACTAAAAATAAGTAGTGGCGACTTTCCGCCTGTTTCAAGCGTAATGTTTTTGAGAGTATTAGCAGCAGCTTTCATAATATGGACTGCAGTAGCTGTAGAGCCAGTAAATGCAACCTTGTCCACGAGGGGATGTCCTACAAGCGCAGCACCTGCTTCTCGTCCATATCCGTTAATGATATTCACGACTCCACGCGGGAAACCTGCCTGCTTAATAAGGCCGGCGAGAAAGAGGATACTGAGGGGGGTCTGCTCAGCAGCTTTGATAACTACTGTATTGCCGCATGCTAGAGCCGGTCCTAGCTTCCAGGTAGCCATTGAAAGAGGATAATTCCAAGGGATAATCTGACCGACCACCCCAATCGGTTGCCGAAGGGTGTAAGCGAACTTTTGAGGGATTGTTGTAATAGCTTGACCAGAAATCTTGTCGGCCCATCCCGAATAATATCGAAGTACGCTAACCGCGTCGGCGAGGTCGCTATTGAGCGCTTCGGAGTAAGTCTTGCCTATTAGCAGTATGAGAAGCTTGCTTGCCTAACCCAAACCTCGGGGCACCCACCGTTGTCCCAGGCATCGATAGTAGCAAGGATCTCTTTGTTCTCTTGGACGAGGTCGGCAAGTCGCCAAAGGAGCTGGCCACGCACTGGAGCGGGCATTTGTTGCCAAGACGGGTGATGAAGGGCAGCGCGGGCGGCATTCACTGCTGTATCAACGTCGTTATGACCGGCGGCCTGCACAGTGGTGATGACCTGTTCCGAACTTCCACTGGTCAGCATTTGGCAAAGTGAAGTGGGAGGGAAGTATTTTTGTCGCTTACGCAGGATCGACCGAGGTGATAGTCTGGTTGCTGGACGATTCGATGAACTCATTGTTGATGAACAACCCAGTTGGCTGGGCAAATTCAACCCCATTGGGTGCTCGGAGATTGACAACAAGCGGCGGCATCATTCTTGTGTATGGGTTGGAATGAGACGAGTGCTGATGGCCAAGTCTGCTCGATGTAGCCACACGAACGAACGCGTTATAACATTCGGAAGCAGGCATCAAAATGCAGGCCGAGATAAAGTTTCCAACTGGGCTGCCTCTGCAGCACGGCAAACAAAAGCGGGCCTTTGTCCGTGAAGTGGAGAGGTCGTATCGTCCGTATTAAACTACCTGTTTGGGTTGGTGTAGCGGCTTCGGGCTAGTCGGCTCATCCGACCAGTTGGGGTAGAAAATATGCTGCAAGTCGCACACATCTTGTGGTGGTGTTTGGTCTTTCTTTATTTCTCTCTTCTTGCCCTGGCCAACTCAGTTCTTATCTTGAAGTTGGAAGGCATTAGAAGCGTGTGGGCCAAAGAGGTCATTAGATGCATCTAGCCCTTTAGTCCAAGCCTAGTCCCCCAAGGCCCTGGTTCTGTCAAGGACCGATACTGATATCAAGAGTTACTGTTAATTAGTACGGCATAGTACTGGCCACTTATGTAGCATCCAAAGCAGACCCAGCTATTTCTCATCTTGCCTATATCTCACTCCACTTCAACCTGGGCCATCCCAACCCAAGTCTCTCTTGTCCTTCTCTCCCCATCCAGCCATCCGTCAGCTGTTACCAATCATCTCCGCTTTCTACCGTGATATCACATTGTGCGTGTCTCACCCTGCTGCTGTCATTACTAGCATCCGAGATGACGACCGCGCTGCCTTCGACCACGACACCGTCGCTCACAAACCGTAACAAGGATGTCAATTCACCTTCAAAAGATGGCTTGCATGTTGACGGAAACCACAACGCTGATGATCTGCTCCAAGATCTAGGATACACAGCCCAGTTCACTCGCAACAGATCAACCCTTCAGGTCGCGTTTATGGCCTTCGTGCTTGCGTCTATCCCTTATGGCATGGCGACAACTATCTACTATCCTTTGATCGGTGGTGGGCCTGTCAATATCATTTGGGGATGGGTTGGTGTCTCGCTTATTGTCTCCTGTGTTGCCCTCTCGTTAGGCGAAATTACCAGTGTCTTCCCGACAGCTGGAGGTATATCGTCTCTCCCCTCCAAGCCTCTGGTTAGACATTGCTGATAGGGTATCTAAATGCAGGTGTCTATTACCAGTCTTTTATGCTATCACCTCCGCAATGGCGACGGATCGCCAGTTGGATCTGCGGCTGGTTCTATCTCGTTGGAAATATCACCATCATTGTCGCTGTTAACTTCGCGACGAGCACGTTCATTATCTCGTGCATCAACATGTTTTCTACTGACGAGGACACTACCCTGATTTCGGGCGATGCTTATCAGGTCTTTTTAATCTATCTAGCCGTCACGTTGATCTGCACCTCCATCTCGACTTTCGGAAACCGCTGGCTGCCCATTCTAGATGTAAGTTTGCATGCAGTCTCTCAACGTGTACGGAGGCTCAATCATATAACAGACTGTAGCTATTTTTGGCACATTCATCAGCCTCTTTGCTATTGTGATTACAATTTTGGTCCTGGCAAAGAACGGCAGAAGAGACGCTAAATGGGTGTTTACGCATTTTGAGGCCTCATCTGGCTGGCCAGATGGCTGGTCCTTTTGCATTGGCTTACTTCACGCGGCCTATGCCACCAGTGCGACTGGAATGATCACCAGGTTGGCTCAACTGTCGTAACAGACCCAGTCCGTCTTGATCTGCTAACACTCATTAGCATGTGCGAAGAAGTTAGGAGACCAGAGATCCAGGTTCCACGAGCCATGGTAGCTACGGTATTCATCAACCTTCTAGCCGGCGTTATGATCTTGGTGCCGGTCTGCTTCATTCTCCCCGATATCCAGGCGCTGATCGCTCTGCCTTGGGCACAGCCGATACCATATATCTTCAAGAGTGCTACTGGGTCAGCTGGAGTGTCTATGGCTTTGCTCGCCCCTGTCTTGCTGTTGGGCGTTCTTTGTGGCACTGGATGTTGCACCGTCGCATCACGGGTTATATGGGCATTTGCGCGAGATGGTGCTGTTCCAGGTGCAAAACACTGGACAAAGATCAGCCCGGCTTTGCATATTCCGCTCAACGCCATGATTCTTAGCACGACTATCCAAGTTCTGCTTGGCCTGATATATTTCGGCTCCACAGCTGCCTTCAGCGCATTTTCTGGAGTCGGCGTCATCTGTCTCACGGCCTCATATGCGACCCCTATCACCATCAGTTTACTTAGGGGGCGTGAAGAAGTGAGCAGGGGCTGCTTCTATTTTGGCTTCTTTGGCGCTGTGTGCAATGTTGTTGCTATTGGTGAGCATCTCTTCCTCAGCTGTGATTTTGCTTCCAATTTCGCTTACCTACCTTTTCCAAATTCTAGCTTGGTCACTTTTGGCTATTCCCCTTTTCTGTATGCCAACGTCAGTACCAGTGACCCCTTCCACAGTCAACTATGGCCCAGTCGTCTTTGTTGCCGCCGCTCTACTTTCGGCTTTCTGGTATTGGTTCTGGGGCCATAAGAATTATGTTGGGCCGCCCACCGGACCTGTCACCTGCTGATCAGTAACATTCGTTCGATTCCCTGACAAATATCTTGGCGCATTGGGTAGTAGTCCTGATGCCTGTAGAGGCAGCCTTTCTTCATCGACTAATGCAGATGGGGCAATCCTCTCGAAGCCACTTGAGGGAAATGTGCGGGGCAGACTCAAAGCGGAGTCCTTTGAGTAGTTTGATCGGGAAATTGTCGGTGATCTCGAACCCAAGTACCATTGGAGACATGGCCGGAGGAGCTTTCTTCTGAACATGGCTGTTTTCTTGATGGAGTCAGCTACTGGAAGCTAAGCGCCTCAGAGAAAGGCTATCGCTGAAAAGTCAGGTGACGGGTGGATCGATCATCCCCTGGCTAATTGGGTGCGCTTTAGGATTGCTTTATTTCATGTTTTTTTATTCTAGTTTCGCGCCTTGAGTATCCAAACTCCAACCAGTTTAAAACCCTGTCTCCTTAAATTTCTTTCGCAACCCAAACCCATAGCTAGAAATGCTTGAGATCACGTCTTATCCTAGCCGAGCTTGTCTCCCATCTGAAGACGGATTTAGCTTCAGCCATGACGGGACACAGACCGTCAAGTTCCGCCAGCTCCTGACTTCGGCTCCTAACCTAGACCAGCTGAGCGCAGACACGACGTCAAATGTTCATCCAGCAACCATTGACCAATTAAAAAGAATTTCTCCTCCTCGCATCCAACGAAAAGGAGAATGCTTCTTGTCTTTGTCCCTGGCCTCGAACTAATACACTAGACAGCCCGCCTGCAACGAACCGCCTGTCACCCCATTATCGCAGCCTCTGTAGGCTTTGGTGAGAGTCTCTTGACACAGACGTGATTCGGCTTTGTATCCCTCTTCTAATGGATCCGTAACGTCCTGCTCAGTTTTGCCGTTCTTTAATTCACAGAGATCCTTCCAGTAGACGTTGTATAGGTAAGGCGCACCATATATCCATCGTTGGTACGAGATAAATGTACTGTTGTCACCCTTCTTGATTTTCTTTGACTCGGTTTCCGGGCAAGCGAAGCCTGCTTAGTTCTGTTGTGAGATGCGGTAAATGTCTTTGTGTTTGCCAAACTGGTGCGGACCGAAGCATCGTATGTCATGTCTTTCCAAAGGTATCTTAGTGTCATTAGGTTTGTGACTCAATTCCTCCTTTGATCCGGATTTCGGCTTGCCATTGGACTCTTCGTTCCCCTTGGTATCATTTGACACACTACCGTTAATCTTCTGATCGAGCGTTCCACAGTCGGACACTTCTCCCATGTCTAGAGAAACATTCGTCTCATTGATGCCTATTACAAGTTAGTCACGTATTCTCTTCGCATATCTGGACCTCTAACCATGCTGAGACTTCTCTAAACCATTGCCCCAAAGATTATCTTCATCTTTATTCTTGCCTTTGACACTAGGTTTGTGTTTCAACAAATCCTTAAATCTACTGACCATCTCTTCATAGGTCAACCATTTATCTGCATTTGTTGACAGTGTAGCTGGCTGAAGGCTCATGGGTCTAGCTGTACAGAGCCGGATGCTCTGCAAAACAATAAGTTAGAGAACACGCATGCTGGATAGGTATTGGGTTGTGTTTGGGCTTTCCGTTTGGCGGCGTTGTCTGTGGATATTTGCAGCGGTAGCCTTTGTGTAGAAAGGAGTCGGGGATATTTATACTTGTTACTCATCTCAACAATGAAGCTCTGGAAGTTTAATTGTAACAAACTTTATTATTTACTATGGAAGCTTTCGTGGAACCAGAGTTACTCATATCTTGCGCCAAATTACTGTCTGGCGTAATTTTAAGCTTTCGTATCCCTTCTTGTTCTCATTCACCATTTGATCCTCAAACGAATCGTAGGCGTCGGGTATTTTCAGTATCTGCCGCTTCAGCGATAAAGTTCACTCGCCGGATCATGTTCAACCATGCTTGCACTTATCTCCTTTGTGTCGGTATCGGATCAAAATGCTCATTTTGGCCCACCATCGGCATCACTTCGCCAATGTTGATGTTGCCGCTACGACAAACTGGGGCCAGCTGATGTATATGAGAGGGTTGAAGCTTGCCAAGTGTCATGCTTGTTTAAATTGCTTCCCATTTGGTACTTGAAAACAAGCTTTGCACAATGAAAGGTTCGCACTACCATCAAAAAGGTTGGCCACGGGGTAAGGAAAAACAGCGGACAGACGTTGGCGGGAAATCAGCGATTTTTCGTGTAAGCCATTCCGCTGTTTTTCCCTCAACCCTAGGTTGGTCACTGAGCGTTACATTGACTCAATTAAGGCCTGAAGTAGCCGCCACTGCAAATTGCCCTGCTGCTGCTAACTGTGAGCAGAGCTGGCCCACAAAGGTTAGACAGAAGCCCAGAGTTTTATGCACATCAAACTCTTTTCTGACGCTTTACCAAAACAACCTCACGGATCGCCATCGCAAGCCAAGAAGCCTTCCAACAACGACCGTGTTTAACGTCCACTTTCTCTTGACTCCCCTTCAACATGGCTTCCAGTCACACCAATCAGCAGGCTGAATCTCGTCGCGACCGCGCGCCTAACACCTCCCCTAGCGAGGCCGATCGCCGCAAGCTGCAAGACCTCGAGCTAGCTTTGGCCAAAGCCCAGCGTGAACTGGGGGTCTTTTGTATGGAGACGAACCAGACCTCCTCCCTTCTTCTTGTCGAGGACGCTACCCAAGACAACGTACAAGAACATCCCGCCCCGGAATGTGATACCGACAACTGCTGTCAACGTTGCGGCAGCCCCTATGAGTCAGAACCAGTTGCTCAAAGAGAGCACCAAAGCAATATCCCCGCAGGTGCTTCCTGTGTGATCACCCGGGTCCTGAATGCCGCTCCTCAACTCCAGACGCGTTACACGAACACCACCACTGGTGGCAGCAATGACGGGGACTGGTACTTAGGGAGCCCTGAGGGGGGTTTATGGGTGCTCAAATCAGTGGCTCCATTGAAGTGCTGGCAGACCGTGTTCGAGAGGACTGGAGTTGCGAGAGAGTTTTCTTCCAGGTGTTTGCCAACCTCCCAGAGGAGTTCAATAGTGTTTTAATGGACCATACCCAGATGTGACAGATCTACAACTCGGGCTATGACGTGGATACGGGCGAGCCGGCGCTCTGAGTGTGCCGGACGTGGTAAGCAGAAACAAGAGTTACTCTCATTGCTCGACACCATCAATTGTCGGACAACAGAGCTCACTGCTTGTACTTAGGTCGGCTGCTGTCATATTTGTCTCCGCTCCAGTTCAATGCCGATGGAGGTGGTGTCGCTTGTCTCCTCACCTGGTCAGTCATTCCCAGCCTTTCCGAACCGACACTGACAACTCACTCAAGATTCCCTCACTATACGTTTTCCCTTTTTGTATGACAAGATCCCTGTCATTGGTTCTCCATGTTAAGCTTAACCGAAATGTGGACATTCACGTGTCCATCGCGACAGTGGGAAGGTGCCCCCACGGCGATTGAGGTCCACTGAACGATAAGGAATTGAACCGAGAGGTATAGCTGTAGTATGAAGGTAAACATGATGAGTCCTTCGTTAAAAGAAGCTAATGATTGGCACGAAGTGCAGGGAGGAAGCGAGCAGCCCACGGTCAATCCGGTCTCTAAAGACGTTTGTTGGGGGCCTCCGAGATGTCTGTTCTACGCTCTTTGATAGTTTTAAGCTTAAAATACAATTGCACTGTGCTTTATTAGAGAAGGGCGATGAATTCATATGCACGCGCCCAGTTTATAATGGAGTAACAAGGCATGTATTTACAGAACGAGAGGAAGAGGGGTGAGGCCAGTACTTGAGGCAGTGAAAGTTCGTGTCTAAGCTCCGTGTAGGTTCAGTTGCATACGTGACTTGAGCGGTCGGGGCGCCACTTTCAGGCAAGTTTGTAAGTCCTGTAGTTGAGTAGAGTCAAGAGTTTTCAGGCCTCCATCGGGAACTGTGACATGTGAATATAGTGGTTGTGCCAATACTGGTTGCACCAAGGTTAGTGACACTGATCGTTGGAGCTGTGAAGGCGACAGTTGTTACCCATCAGGGGGCATGGGCCACAACAGTGGGCAAGTAACAGTTGTAGTCGTTCCGTCAGGAGTTGTCAATCCTCCATTGGGTAGTACAAGGTCATCACAGTGGTAGTGTAACCAGCAGCTACGGAAAAGTGTAGTAAGATCAGTCGTGAAAGCGAAGGAAGCAGACTGCCCTGGAATAGGGTTTCTAGGGCTATAGGGGCTGGGCTCAAGGTTCTCGCTCAGTACATGTTCCCTTTTCGGACGACAGAGTCTCTCCCATTGGTCGTCATATTTAAGCTTGTCTGCCACGTGGGCTTCCAGTTGCGTAACAGTGGTTGAGGAAGGTGCTCTAAGGCACTTGAGCAGCTCTGTGCACTTCTTACTTCAAATTCAGTCGTCTCAAGCATTTACGAGGTTCCTGTAGATGTCTGTTGCTAAAGAAATTTCGTGGGTCGGCTACTCGGCAGAAACACAAATAGTTGGTAGCGCAAGCCTGCAAGTAGAGGGAGGATCTTGGGGTCAGAAAACAGCAATTCGATGAAAGCATTGGCAGCAAGCGAATTAACTTCTAGTCCTGTGTGATCGCCTGTTCGTCCTTGCTTCCCCGCCTGGCCATCCCCATCACATCCCGCCCTCATAGCGCTAGCGTCCAGAATTCCCCCGTCAATTCAACGCCCCAATCATTGTGATTCTGCGTCTCAATCATTTCGAACCCTGCCTTTTTATATAATCTCCGCGCACCCTCCAAAATGCTCTGCGTCCAAAGATCGATATGTTGATACCCCGCTTCTCTCGCGAAATCGATGCATTTCTGAATCAGGGCTGTTCCGACACCAAGGCCTCTTGCGCTTTCGTCCACCAATAGCAATCGTAGCTTTGCAGTTTTTGGCTTTTTGTCTTGTACCAGCATGATGCAGCCGAGGAATGACCCATCCTTTTCGGCAACCCAACAGCCTTCTAGGTCGGGCTTGAAGTTGTCGAGGAAGTCGGCGGTAATTCTTGAGATGAGAGATTCGAAGCGATAGTTGAAGCCGTATTCTTGTGCGTAGACCGCTCCGTGTCTATAGGTTATGTAGCCCATGTCACCAGGTTGGTGGCTGCGAATGGTAAAAGGCGGGGAAGATGCATTGCGAGTCATTGTGAAGAAAAAGAGAAGGATGATTGTATTATCGTTGAATTCTCAAGTGAAGCTTCATCTTTTATATATGGCATTGCTTTTCCTTATTATTCGTTGGTGGGTATCACAAATGTTAGAAGGCGCATTTTTAGCCATCGACGTTTAATGTCAATTAAGGGCGCACGGCAAACTCTGCACCTATGAGGTGTTGGCTCTTGCCAAGACGCACCTTTCCGTACTTTATGGCCTGGAACGACCGCGTTATTACCGTATTCCCGAGGTTCTAGAAGGTACTGGGATCACAGTTGGACTCGGGCTGAAATCATCACCCAAAGAGCGCTTAAACTGGCATAGAATCACATCGCCAACACATAAAATGTAACGGCCAGTCCATGAGGAATTGCCCTTTCCTCCGACTGAAACAGCACGAACAACGAAAACAAGGCATCACTGCCACTGACGGGAGACAAAATGAACGATGATTTGCCATGTAATTGAAACGCTACTAAAGTCTATAGTACAAGCAGATAACTCAAGAGTTATCTCCGCAAGAGAAAACACCACGAACGCCGCCATCAGAGTTGAAGATGTCGAGAAGTTCAGTGATAGATGCCCACAGACCAGCTGCGTTCATGAAAAGTGACATGATGATGAGGAGGGCATTGACGATTGTCAAAGAGATCTTCTTCCAGTCGCGGAAGTATTGACCTTGGTTCATGTGAAACCAAAAGACGGCGCTGAAACCGTATGTGAACCAAGAGATTGTTGTCGCAGATGTAATAGAAAGGATCGAGTCAAAGACAGGAATTGCGTTGGATAGAATAAAGACGACGATCCAGAAGCCAGTGACGGAAGCGATCCAGGTTGACCAGGACTTGACAGAGTTGGAGGTGACTTCGTTGAGGTTGCCAGTCCATCTCATGACATTGACAAAGATGTACTTGGATCCAATGTGACCATAAGCGAGACCGGTAGCGAAGATGGCAGGGAGGGCGATGCCGAAAGCAGCTTTTGCAAAGGTTGTCGAGGTAGATCCCAGAATGGGAGAGGTTGTGTATTCGGCTCCGAGACAGTAGAAGATGACGGCGAAAATGACATACATGGTCATGGAACCGCATTCAAGGACAGTCAGACAGAATTTGAAGTCTTCCAGGGGGTTGGTCATCTCAGCGAGGTAGCCCTGTATCTGTTAGTATAGATCATGCTGCAATTGGCCGTACTTACAACAAAGCTGAGATTGGCAGCATACGCAAAGACAATCTTCAAGCAAGCATTGAGACCATCTCGGAAACTAGGATTTCCAACAATGACAATCTCCCTCTTCCACTCAGCCATGTTATCAACGCCCTTGGGGCCCTGAACACCAAGAACAACCATGACGAGAATGCATGCAGCCAAAACACTAAGAGCATTGGGGATACCAAGGTGTGACACAAACTTGGTGGTGCGAGGGATGCAAAAGATGTAGCAGGCTGCGCAAGAGATGAAGATGAATACAACAGTGCAAGCTGCATGGCTGCTGATTGTGTTGAGGGCAATTGAGAGGGTGACCATAGCTGAAGCTGCGACGAAGATGACCTGAATCATCATCATGGCACCGGCAATACTCTCCAGGGTCCTTCCACCGACAAAGCGGGTCATGTCGACGATGTTTAGCACCTGAGGGTGTAGTCTGTAGTATTGTAACAACTCATAGGCTGTATACCATGAGATGACACCAATACCGATCAAGGCGATGATACCGGGAACGAGACCGAGGGTCTTTAGAGTCGAGGGGAGAGACAGGATACCGAGGCCGATCTGATTGGCGAACAGGATAAAGATGGTATCCCATCGCTTCAGGGTGCGAAAGTTCTTGCCGCCTTGGGAGTAAATGTTTGTGTTGTCAGCCGACTCTTGAACAGTCTGGAAGTCATGGCCGTGACCCTGAGAGCTAATCTCGTGCTTGAGGCCATCGCTATCAGAGCTAGGATCATGGAACTGCCCAGCAGTTTTGGCGACGTTATCCTTTTCCATGTTGCGTATTGGTAGTTGTCACTTGGACAATTAATGTATGATGTAGATGTTCTGACGAGGGCTAGAAGCTGAAGAAGCAAACAAGTGGAATTCCACGGCTTTATACCACTCGCCTCACGAATCTACAAAATAGCGCAGCGATGGTCCGAGGGATAGGGGCTGGGCAAGACACTGAGACGTCATGGTAGTGGTTTCTTGATTGGTCCGCACCAAATATCGCCGCTGAAATCAAGGCTGCATTAAACTCCATCCCGGTGGATATCGCCAGGCACGGAAGCCCCATGGGGGTTTATGAAACGTTCCACATCGGTCTATAGTAATTCGGGTAGACTCGGTCACTTGGAAGAGTGAGTGATATCCGCAGAGGAAGTTGTCCGGGCCAGTCGGATACGACCAGAGTGCACTACTCTTTTGCTCGGGGTCCTTGGATGCTGGAAATTAGACCGAAGTAGGAAGTCTGTGCTTTCTTGTCGCTCGGTATCGCCGGGGTTGACGTCAGTGCCTGTCTTGACGCGTCTAGAATTTGAGCCTCATTTAGCCGCCAACGTTAACACGACGTCGACGAGATTCAGATATGATATACATTCGCGATGTCTCATTTATCTTTCCTGTCTTTAATTGTTGTTTCTACTGGTATTCATCGAGACAAAGATGAAAAGACCTTCAAACGCGAGGCAACTTTGACCATTTCTTGGCGTATTATGGGCTCATCATACTATGACTAAACCATCTCCATTCTCGCCTTGGCAAACTCCATCACCAGAGTCAAATCTCCATAATAACCCACATTTGGGTCCCCTCAATCACCAGACAATGCAAATGCTTCGTAAAATCAGGTCCCCGAGTCTGGAGTCGCGAGATTCGTCGAGTTTTCATTACTGATGAGAACCAAAACTCTCAGGAGCCCCATGGGGAAGGCGGATATTCCCCAGACGTGATTGAGCTGTCATACTTGGCAGTGAATATCACCAAGAGGTTCACGGAAGATGCAGCAGAGGATATCGGCATGCGCGGTAGATCTACGCCACTATGCCGAGTTATGTCATTCCGCTCACTTTAATTCCTTCTAGAAATTCCAAGCTGCTTTCGGTGGTCACTGCTTGCGTGGCGCTCAGCTTACCATCCGGCAAAGATCTACACGTCAGACCAATCCGGATAAAGACACGAGTAAGTCACCGATGCACTGACATCAATCAGCAGATCTTTGACGGGAACCTTCCTCATTGAACAAGGAGAAGGCCTCAATCACTGTCTCAGCGATAAGACCAATTACACTATAATATCCTCGTATCAATTTACTTGGCAAGGGGTAATAGAAACTGGAAACGGATAATGCTCGCGTTGGGGCATGCACGTCCCAGTTGTAGATCCTGGCTTTAACATGATTATGCGCGATTTATTCTAGAATTCTTCTTCGTTTCATCAGCGCATATTAACCGCCTGTTTCATGATTGGATTCCTCCGGGCCAACAAC